CACGGCCACGCTCTGCCCCCCTTGGCGACAGCGAGCAGGCGCTCCGGAGAGTCCCCAGTGGGGCAAGAGGGGCGGGGGAGGCCAGGCGGGGAGAGCGGCGTTTCTATTGCGTTAACAGATTACATTCCAGAGCAGAAAAAGAAGTATAACTGCAAAACTTAGGTTTTATATTCTGTAAATAGTAGGGGACATGTGAAGGTTTTACTCTCCATACTAAAACATGCGCTCTGAGAACTCGGTGCGGTAGGGTTACTCCACATTGGTGAATGAATCAGGCAAGAGAGAGTTAAAGTGAATCAAATTATTCTTTTTCTATCTGCAGTCTGCAGAAGTAATCCTATAAGAAGAGGAAATTTTAGTCTTCTACTCCGAGAAAGTACTTTTCTATAGTATAGATTTAAAGGGGTGGGGCTGGTGCAGAAAGGGGAGCAGAGGTGAAAAGAGGAGAAAAAAGACGAGAAGAGAGGAGATTAAAAAAACTACCTAGAATAGCCTTATCCGTCGCATGGCTTGGGCTATTTTAAATTTAAGTAAGTCTTTCATTGCATTCCTTTCTGCGGAACTTCTTAAAATTGAATCCAATAGTCAACAGTACACAATGTCAACTACAAGTTTCTTATTTTCATAGTTTGTCATCTCAGACTGAATCTGGGTGGTCCAGTCTGATATTTTAAATTTGAATATAATCTCCCCAAAATATACAAATGCGACTTTGTAATGTTCCCATAATAATTGTATTTTCCATAACACTCCCATATTAACACACAGACGAAGAGCCTGGGAAAGCTGCAGTTACATGTGGTGGCGAACACAAGTGACTTCCCAACGCGCTGCCCGCCTTCATCTTCACAAGCAGCGCACAGCGAGCGTTTCTGCTCCTCGGAAGACAACGTTTCACTATAACTGTGCCTCATCACTGGGGCAGGGAGGATAAGGAAGTCAGCGATGTTGGCACAAGAGGAGACCCTTAGCAGGTCGCTAGGGCTGGATACTCAACCCATTTGATTCTCTTCGGGAGGGTCAATTAGCTTTTGCCAAACATTTTTTTTTTAAGTGGTGATATAAAACATGTGCTATGAGAGCAAAAGGAAATAAAATAACTTTTCCCATTTGCTACTTCCACTTTCTCTTGTGTGTCCCCACAATAGGAAAACTCCAGGCAAAGTTACTTGTGACTTCTTTGTCTTTGTGTCACATGTGATATTACTGAGCATACCCTCCTTATGTTGTTTTCTCCTTTAGTCTGTGTAGCACCCAGCAAGGCCCTGACTTTCCTCTTACCCCTCTAGGCATGTCTGCCTTCCCTTCTTTGGCCGGTTCTCTGCCTCTACTAGTCCATTAAATGTTGCTTTTCACCAGAGATGACTTGCTTTCTTTTTTTCCTCACTTTCTACCTTCTTTTCAGTGGGTTCTCTCATTCACCCTACAGAATTTAGCTGTCCCCCTACAATCTCACATGCTCTCCTTAACTCCAGCCCAGTATGTTCAACTCCCTAAGAAAACTGTTTCTATGATGTGAATTTATTACAGAAATCTCAAATTCAATATATTAAAAATGAAGTTAATTATCCCTCTCCCCCATACCGCTTCTCTTTCTATGCCCCATATATCAGAATAATTGACTAATCACCTTTCTCTTACACCTGGCGCCATTAAACTCTGACTGGAATGTAGATTTGGTACTGGAGATGGAGACGGGGCAGACTTATGGTGACCAAGCCTAAGACTACTGCCGAGACTCTGAACCTGGTTGAATCCGTGCCAGCAGCTATCCACCTCAGTCCTCTTATTGTGCAAAAAAAACAACCCTTGTCTGTTTAAACTGCTACAGGCTAGTTAGTTTATTATTCCTTACAGCCAGCACATATCTAAATGCCACACTCAGGCAATAATAGCCTCTCCCATTCAACCCATTCTTCTATACAGTACCAAGGAATCAAAATTGGTATAATTTATTGAAGATTTACTCTGTGCAAAGAAATTGTATTAATCTAAATAATGCTTTATTTACCTTATCATCATGTTAACTAGTTTTTAGTGTCTCTCTTTTACTGGTATTTCATTAATCCCTAGATCCTAAGTTGTAGAGCCAGGATTTGAATCTATTGTCCTAAATTTAAGACAACTTTCCCTCTCCTCCTCCCTCTTTCTCTCCCTTCCTTCCTATCCTTCCTCCAATCTTTGTGGTCTCTCACCTTTCCTTATCATCCATTAAGACCTATAGGCCCAACTTAAAAATAGATTACAAACCTATTCTTTCACCCTACGCCTCTGCCATGATCATGCCTGTCCCTGGCCTGGCCCACAACAATCTCCTAAGGAGTCTAATTTCCAGACTTGTTTCTGCTCTCAATTCTTTTCTCACTCTACAGTCAGGATGACACTTCTGAAATATGATATCTATCTTTTCTTCCCTGTTTAAAATCTTCCAGAGCTCTGAAAATACAGTTAAAACTCTTTTGCATAGCTAACACTTTCTGCCTCCCACTTTCCACTTCTTCCCCCACCACTCACTGTTCCTTACCTTGGGTTTTATGATTCAGACACACAGAAGTACTTTTAGTCTCTCCAACTTGCTTTGTTGTTCCATCTGCTTAGGCATTCCTTCAGCCAGCTAGCTCCTGCCCACCAGTATAGCGCCTCCTAATTCCCACTCATCCTTCCCTCTTCTCATTAGATGCCACATTCTCCAGGAAGCCTCTCCTAAACCCCCAATATCCATGGTAAATGCACTTTCAGTGTGCTGCCATGTCTCTCTGCTTTCTCTCTCATTTTAATAGTTTCTTGAAATGTCAAAATCTCTACTAAACTATTAACTCTGAGAGAATGGGGATTATTTTTGAATTATTGATAATTGGATCTCAATATAATTTCTGATAGTTTGTATTTAATTAGTATGAGTAAAAGAGTAGAGAAGATCTTCTAAAATTAAAATATAGAAAACAGAATCAATGCATTCTAGCTTATTTTCTTCCACTTCATTTGTCTCAGAAAAGTCTTAGGTAAACCAAAAGTTCTCAATTATACCATATAGAAACCATGTAGAACAGATGATACCTAATTTCCTGATATCCTACCCCTCTCCATTGGTTAGTAATTATAGGCTTTGTTAAAAATCGATACTCTCATCCTAGTAGTTGCTTATCTAAAGAAATAAGAGTTCATCTTTCCTCCTTACAGCAGAAATTAACCTGGTCTAAATTAAGGCCCAGTGATTAATCATTAAGGACCATTCACACCAGAGAACAATAGTTTTCTGGATAGTTGTCAGGACTAGATCTTTACCCCACAGATCATTACAACAGCCAATGGGAATAGCCAGATTGAAGATAAATCATCATAAGTCACATTGGGCAAGACTGTCTTTCATGCTCTCCGGTGCTTCTGTAGGTCTTTCTGTAAGGGCCAGAATGCAAGGTTCTATGTCTCTTTTCCTGAGCTATTTCTCAGGGTTATGCTTGAGGCAAACAATAGTGAGGGATGAAACCAGAACAAATGTCTCAAACTGGAACAAAGATTGGTTTCCTAACTGATTCTTGTAAAAGCAACGAGTTTTCTAATCTTGGTATTCCTTAGCAGTGATAAAAACCCATGTGCCTGTAGTGTCCATCTAGATCTATTGTGTGAAGCCCATGAGGACTGACACAAGACGAATGGAGCCAAAACATGGTGACGGACGTACTGCTTGAGGTGTCCCGAGTAATAAAATACCTTTGTCTCTGACACAGACATCACATGTGTTCTTTCAATAACTACAAAACAGTAGCAGACTAATTAATAACTACAGAGACAATATAATCAAATTCCAGAACCAACGGGATGAAACTGAGTCATTTGTAGAGAAATAGAATCAGAGCTTTGATCAAATAGCATGTATGCCTGCTCTTTATTTTATTTAGATGTTAAGAATAAAATTCAGAGCAGCAAATAATAATTTATAAAGAAAAAATATGACAGCTTTAACAATTATCTTCCAGGAATAATTCTACTTCCACCACTTTCTACTTTCCTTCTCATTTTCATAGTCTATTTTAGAGAATAAATGATTTAACTATGACTTAGTGTACCAGATACTCTATTTTATTCTCTTCTCCACTCTGCATTAATAAATTCAGCAGATAATATCTATTTTGTGGTTTCCCATTTCACAACAGCATAAGTTTTCTGGGCTAATATGAACTGGAATGCCACATTATGAAGCCAAAGTTTTCCATTAAGAATCACCTAGGGATGGAGGGAGAGGGAAAAGAGGAGAGGGAAGGAAAAGTAAAAGGGATTAAGATGTGATATGTATATGTACCAACTCCCCATGCCAAATTTATTCATTACGTATCACAAATATGTGAATGACTTACTATACAATTGACATTGACTACATATGCCTTACTCATATCTCTTTTTCATCTTTTTAATTCAATTTTTCATTCAAAAATACCATGATTTTTTATTC